AATCGAATGTGGATCAAATAATAAAAGGATTTGGGTTTCGAAACGATGATTTTGTTGGAGATTTCAGATTTGATAGGCAGCTTATGATCGAACTTCGAACTTAGAGTTAGAGGGGACCCTCCAAGGCGAATGAGGGATCGTAGAAGGGAGACTGGAAATTGGTTAGGGCGGCGGGTCGTATCCATAGGGTTTAACCTCTTAATCGCTATCATTAAACCGGGTACAGTTAGGTTGAAGTCCGTAGAAGTCACCATAAACGCTTCGTGATGCATTTGGTAATTTTCCTTGCCCCCGGTCACCCGTACCCCTGATTTTGCCCTGGGCACCGTAGAACTGCCCATATATATATATATATATATATATATATATATATATATATATATGGCGAGTTCTACGGTACCCCGGGTAAAATCTGGGGTACCGCATACTTTGAGTAAAAAAACGCTATCTAGAACTTGAATTGACTGATCTTTCGGACATGATACTATACCCTAATCCATAAAGATCAAAATATAGGTCTTAATTCACTTAATCTTATACCCCAAGATCAATTTAGTTAGAAATAATAATCGACGGTTATGATTCGCTTAAATATAGGCAAAAAAAATCAATCCACCATCTTAGAGTTTATAGTTTATGATTTGGATAATTAGGACCTAGGGTTCACTCATTAAGGGTTAGGGTATAGTATCATGCCCAAAAACCCTGCTAATTCGAGGTCTAGATAGCGTTTTCATACTCAGGGTATGCGGTACCCCGGATATATATACATATATGGTGCCTTCTACGGTACCCCGGGTGAAATCCGGGGTACCGCATACCCTGAGTATGAAAACGCTATCTAGACCTCGAATTAGCAGGGTTTTTGGGCATGATACTATACCCTAACCCTTAATGAGTGAACCCTAGGTCCTAATTATCCAAATCATAAACTATAAACCCTAAGATGGTGCATTGATTTTTTTGCCTATATTTGGACGAATCATAACCGTCGATTATTGTTTCTAATTAAATTGATCTTGGGGTATAAGATTTAGAGTATAGTATCATGTCCGAAAGATCAGTCAATTCAAGTTCTGGATAGCATTTTCTTACTCAAGGTATACGGTACCCCGGATTTCACCCTGGGTACCGTAGAACTCCCCATATATATATATATGGTTTAGGCTAGCGTACGCCCGGGCGTACGTTAGACTACCGTACGACTGTTTGAGTTTTGCTATTTAGATCATCAATTAAACAGAGTTTTGGGCATGATACTATACCCTAACCACTAATGGATAAACCCCAGTCCCTAGTTTTCTAACCCAAATCATGAAATTCGTTTAATCTTAAAATGAAAATCAACAATAATTTCGACGAATCGGAACCGTTGATTTTCATTTCAAGATTAAATGAATATTATGCTTTGGGTTAGTGAATTGCAGACTGGGGTTCACCCATTAGGGGTTAGGGTATAGTATCATGCCCCAAACTCCGGTTAATTCATTGTCTAAATAGCAAAACTCAACAGGCGTACGGTAGGCTAGGGTACGTCCGGGCGTACGCTAGCCTTTGTCATATATATAAAATTAATTTAGTTAATAAAGAGGATAATTATGTTATTCTATTATAATTAGTAAATAGCTGTGGAATTTACTTGGAAATTTCATCTCAATTCCTCGGAATTGCTATAACTAGTACCAATTCTATAGAATTCAAACTTTATAATTAAAAAAGTATTCTTTTAAATACTAAACACAAAAATATTTCATTCAAAATGAATTCCGCAAAACTTATAAAATTCATTTATACCAAACGGTGCATGGGCGGCTAGGATGTAAGTTGTCATTATCCAAATCACTGCAATAGTCAAACCATGTCCAGTTCCAGTTTCAGAACATAAATAGGACATACATGTTTCGATGTACGAAAGCTTATCGATTTTTCTAATGGTGGATTATGAAGATGGAAAGTGCATCATAAATCAACGTAACACAACTACAAACAACAAATAATACAATCGGTTCAAGTGAAGAGGATAAATTGTAGATAGGAAGTCGTATGAAAATACTTAAATCTTAACACAGTTTAGTAGGGGGAAAAGAGAGATTAAATAATTGCAAATAATAAAGTTAAGATATAATTGATATAAAATTAGTTTGAATTCCAGAACAACAATGTCGTTGTAGTATAGTGGTAAGTATTCCCGCCTGTCACGCGGGTGACCCGGGTTCGATCCCCGGCAACGGCGCGTTTATTTTTTTATTTAACATTTTATACATTTCTTTTGCGCGGGAAAGTAATACTGGGCCAGTGCAAGAGGTACACAAGTGAAGTTAAAAGGCCTAAGCGCTAAGCCCAATAAAAAGTTAAAAACATAGGCATGCTACCTAGCCTTAATTGAATTGGGCCAAACGGTAGAAGCCTATAGTTCTCTCCTCATAAGCCTATATATGTAATCCAACCTTTGCAAGTTTGTGTCCTTACTCCTTATCCTTAACTTGATTATCAATAGTAAGTTTCCTCATTTCTACTATGGTATTGGTAGATTCATTCATTTCAACCTCTAAATGGGAACACGATTTAATGCATAAAGATTAGAGCGGCCTTACAATTCTATAGAACAAGATTACAAATACCTCAATCCACATTTTAGTTGAAATCATGAAAATCATAATAATCCGATCCAAAATACGCCAGAATACTCTTCATCTTAACGAAATGAGCATAGCATCTTCACGGCCAAAAATCGAGGGATCCATTTCCAACGCTGAACCATTGATGCGGTTCATTGTATGCACACTTGCATAGTTGCATAGCACTTCATGTGCCATGGCCGAATAATGTCAAGGTTAACTGACCAAGCCCACATGAAGAACCATTGGCCCTCGACAGACTTCCTTTTCAGACCTTTCACCCTTTTCCCCACCCGACAAAGAAACCCATCATCCATTTCGATTTGTTGTTTTCTCATTTGATGTTTAATTGCATAAATGGTCACTACTTCTTCATGTCACAAATACCAAATGCTCACCAAATTTTGATATGCTCAACAAACCCTTGATATTACTCTTCAAGGGGTTTCCTATCAAAGTGTTCGGATTAGCGTGTTTACTCGTTAAAGATTGGCGAGAAGTACGGCCGTGTAACTTGACTTTGCTGATAGAGACTGCTCGTTGTAACTCATATGCAATCAAAATTAAACTTAGTAGTTGACAAGTTTCCGGTTCTTTTTCATCTCAAAATCACTTTTATGTCATTCTCAAACTCACTCGGTTGTAGGGTTTGTATGCGGACTTTTTCAATCCGCCCGAGTATGTTCACATGTTGATATGGTTAAGCATTGAGTTTCATAGAAGAAGAAGAAGAAGAAACTTGGCAATAATGAAGGGAGTTGTGAGAGCGATGTTCCCAATGAACCCTATACACGGAGGTCATTTTTTTTATTTCTTGAACCAAACTCGTCGATCCAAGCCTACATAACGTCACGAGTCTAACCCTCTTCCTTCGCTCCCATGGCCATGCTATAATCCAAGGCTCGGGTTCAATCATTTACGCTATCCCTTTCCCGCTGGTTGATTAGTCAAGGATCAGAGTTCGAAAGATTGCTCGATTACCCAATATGCCACACACATGTCAGGCTAGGTCAAGAGGCGATAGCACAAACCAAAGAGTCTCCTACCATAAACATGTCAATCTTAATAGAACAATAATCATAAATGGACTCGAGCACTTCATAATCAATCACCCTATAATATGAGTACATTGTGAACCAAATTGAAAACAAGAATGGTGATTATCATTTTCTGCATTACCTACAGCATATACGCAATCTCGTCGTTTCTGGTACAAGAATTTTCCCCATTCAAAATGCCGCGATTCTCTCAAGCTGCCGGAAAAGAACCATGAGAAACGACTCAATACTCAATAATGCTAGCAATTATCGGATTACTGTACTTAGTGGATCACAGTTGTGTGGAGTTACTAACTAGGGAAACCCAAAGGTTCCATCCTATAAAAAATCTCGATGAATCTAACTTATTGTGGTAGTAACTCTAGTACATGGCGATTTTTTGTGGTAATGGATGAATGCATATGTGTAGGGTTGGGAAAATCCGTCTGGATTGCTTGAAAAACGTGAATAAAATCCGACCTCGTAGACGGTATATCGTTAATAATGGTTTGACTTGGTTCAGTAGAATAAATCTCGAGATGTTTTGATCTTCTCGTTTGGTATAGACTCCCATTTATCTAACCATACCACAAACCTAAACTATTTTGTTTTTCAATTCGTGTTAGCAATTCGCTCGACCACTCTCCCACCTCCGCAATGAGATTCAAGCATCATTCCTAATTTTGCAAACCTCGTCCCCTCCTTCATTCACAAACCACACTCCAACAGAGAGTACATACAATCGCATCTCTATATTGACATTATGTTAATGTTTATAATGTTGTGATGGAAGTTGGGTTACTCCGGCTTTGTATCTTTGTTATTTATTTGGTTTTACGTTGTTAGTTCAATTTTTGTGTGATGGATCAAACAAACTGTCCATTTATTGCTCAATCTAGTCTACCTGATCTGGATCAGTCCGCATAGGTGTGACTTAGCCTGAACTCCGAACTATATAGTATTTGATCTGGTTGTACTCTAGCCCTTCATATGAACCATATATCAGACCACACCGTTTTTCAGCTCTGTATATTTGCACATACAGTTCATTGGGTTCATTTTTAATTTTTTTTTTATAGGAACAATCATATATATAATTCCGACCTATCATGTTATCATTATCTTATTGATAGCGTTAGATTAATATCCATGAAAATATTTCATATCATATGATATGAAACACAATAGGTCAGAACCACGATAGCAAGAAAGAAACATGTATTCTGAAAATCAAGGAGTAAATATTCCTCTTCAATATTTACATATGTTTTCACCATTGATTAAGGAACATATTGGGCACCATTACAGACACATAATGACAAAACAGCTAAAGCAAAGCAAACCCAAGGAGGCAGAGAGAGAGAGAGAGAGAGAGAGAGAGAATGGCGTAGGTGGTCAGCACTGCCTCAGCCCCAACCACAGAAAGAAACCCACAACAAAAAAGGGAAGCAGTCATGTTGGCGGGGAATTGGCATTAGAATATTACCCAATCGTGAATCGTTCTTTCTTTCTTTCTTTCTCCCTCTCTCAATTATCCTCGAAGAATTCCACTTTCTCTGCCTTAATTCGATTCCATTTTTCACAAATCCGAAACGCCCCTACAAGACACAGAAAGAAACAGAGAGGGAGAGAAAGATAACGGACAGATTTTCCTGATTAAACAAAGGGAAAGGAGGAACAAAAAGATCCTAGCAGCAGGGAGAAGGAAAGCTCGCAGGGCGAAGAGAGAAAGGAAGGAAGGAAGGTGGGTGGAAAAAAGGTTGCAGCAGCAGCAGGGCTTCTTCTTCTTCTCCGATTCCCCACGCGGTTTCTACGGAAAGAAAGGAGTCGAAACGAAAAACCAGAGGGGAAGGAGGAATTTTTTTTGGTGTTGGGTTTTGGTTTTCCCAGGCTTAGATCTGGCTGGGTTCGGGGAAATCATCGGTTTTCTCTTCTGGGTATTGAAGTTAGCGAGCTGATTTTTAGTGGGTTGCTGTTAGAAATCTGATTCAGGGGCGTGTTCGTCGTTCCCGCTTTTTTCTAGATCCGGATGGCGTTTTTTCGCGGTTGATTGTTTTTCTCCCTTACCTTTTCCGGTCAGTGTTCTGTTTGTTTTGAAATATCGTTTCTGGGTTTGTTACTAAATCGGGGAAAGGAGGATGGATTCGGATGATCTCCGATCGATTCTGGAGACTGCCGGAGTGGACGTTTGGGCGTTCATCGACACGGCGATCGCCGTCGCCTCTTCGGATTACCCTTCTGAGCTGAAGCAGCGGAGGGATAAAATCGTTCAGGCATTGTACTCCGCCACAGCCACCGCCACGTGTAATCAGTGTAGCCGTGGCGGCGTAGGAAATGGACGTGGGCAGAGGGAACTAGTCAATCAGAAATTGTCTCCCGCTCCCGCCTCCACCGTTGAGAGAGAAGGCAGAGGTAGAGTCGGGGGACCAGCTGCCGCCGGAATCCGTCGGCGGTCGCCTGAAACAGAGGAGGAGGAAGAAGAAGAGAAGGTAGATGTAGAAGAAGAAGGAGAAGAGGATGTAGATCCATACGACCTGTTGTTCGATGATGAACAGAGGAGAGTTTTGGAAATCAAACAGCGGCTCGAAGATCCTGACCAGGTCAATAATGGAATTCTAGTCTGTTTAGTAGCAGATAATTCTACATACATCAGCTTGTTCTTTAATTTTTCCTGTGTGTTGGTTTATTTAAACAGACTGAAGATTCTTTGGTTGACTTGCTGCAAACTTTGGAAGACATGGACATTACATTCAAAGCATTGAAGGTGTGCTGATGAAAGTCTAAAACTTCTTCTCCTTTATTAGTATTTTGCTTTCTTTTATGGTTGTTTGGAAGCTGGGGAAGTTGATTTTGTTTCCCTGGAAAATTCACAGGAGACTGATATTGGAAGGCATGTGAACCGGCTGAGGAAGCATTCGTCAAATGATGTCAAGAGATTGGTGAAACTGCTAGTCAGGTATCATACCTTGTTGAAAGTAATCAATCATATTGTTCCAGCAAGCAAAATTTCCTTTTTTTTACTTCCTTTTGAGGTATCTTCTTAGTTTTGATTATGGGAGAGTGTTTGGTTTCCAGGAAATGGAAGGAAATTGTGGATGAATGGGTGAGGTTGAATCCACAAGGAGAGCATACTTCCTCAGCTATGATGGGTAAAAACTGAAAAAACAAGAATCACAAGTCTTAAAACTTTCCTTTCAAAGGAAAAAAGCTTCTGAAGGCAGATTTGTTGGGCAGTGAGAAATTTTAATGAAAATTTTCATTGTGTTTCTTGCACCAGCTGATGGGGACTCACCTCAGCAACAAAAGATTACCCAGAATGGTCATCACCAGGTGAAAAATTGAACAGCCAATGAAGCTATTTCTTCCTTTGTCCCCTTACTAGAATGAAAGAAGAAGTAGAAGCAGTAAAGGAATTCATTCTTTAGGTTTTGCTTTATATCTGAGATTCTATTTTGGGTTTGTTGTTGTTTGTTTGTTTATTTGTTGCTAGGTGCCTGATTTTGCATACTCTCCAAACCCTCACAGTGAGTGTTACTAGTTAGTTTTATACCTTTACACATACAGAAAAGAGAATCTCATCCCAAAGTTTGGCAAGATTCTGACTTTGATCCTATGGATTCTGATTCTGCTTTGGATTTCATATAGATGGTAGTTCTGGATCAGACAGAAATTACTCAGAACCTGAAGTGGTAGTAAGGAAGCAAAAGCCTCCAGTTTCTTCTTCTGGTAGTACTATTAGAAAAGAGGCTGCTGCACCTGCTAGACAAGCTCAACACCATTCAGCATCTACTAGTCACAATAATGTCAGCATTTACTGCCTTCTCTCTTTTATTAGGGTGATGGTGGACTGTTTGGTTGCTGAGAAAATTCTGTACTTTGGCTGATGTGGGTTTCTTCTCACTTTTAGCAGAGGCAACAACAGCAAAGAGAGGGCAACAGCAATTTTAATTCAGATAGGCTGGCCTCAGCAACGAAAAGGCTCCAGGAGAGTTACAGCAAAGCTGAAAATGGTTTGTTTCTTCTTCTTACTTCTCTTCTTCCCAACATAGTTTTACTTTTGAAGAAAGTTTGGGGACCAAAGGTGAAAATAAAGGGTACTGATTTGTTTCTTTTGTTGCTGTGGTGAAGCCAAAAAGCAAAGAACAATTCAAGTGATGGACATTCACGAGATACCAAAGCCTAAGAATACATTCTTTGCCAAGAACAAAGGTGGCGGTTCTCAAGGCAGGCACTGGTAGTGGCCAACGGCCGGTGGTCAACTTCGTTTTGGGTACCTTGATTTATTGATAGTGTTCACTTTGGCCCTTCCCCTCTGCCTAACACCAAAAGACTAAGAAAGGGGTGGCTTACTTGGGAGGGAGAGGTGCTTTGGTGCTCTTATAAAAGTGGAGGGGCAGAAAAAAGGATGATGGAGAGAAAGAGGGTAATTCCCTGATCAGTACTACCTTTTCTTGGTCTATGCTATTCCTTATCCTTTTCAAAGTGAAAAGGAAAGGAGAAAGGAAGAGGAAAAAGAGGAAACAATTTTCTTTTGAGCTTTTTCTTGTGCTAAATAAGTTCCCATGAAGAGATTTGGGAGGATGGTCATTGCTAGAAGATCGATTTGCTTTTGATTTCACATTTGCAAAGTCCTCCATCCATTGCATAAAGTATTGATGTTTATGGTTAATTTAGGCTTCTCGAGGGATTGGTTGGACCAACAGAGATTACACTTTTAGAGGAACTGATTTCGAGTTGAAATCGATAATCGTCTGCAACTCCTGATTTGGTTAAAAATACGATATATGTTTGTCTTGTTTAGCAGCTCCAAGCCTCTACGTTGCATCTCGTTATTGCGATCAGCTTTATTAAGGGTTAGGATGCATTTTTATCATTATCTCGTCAGGATTAGGGGTTTGAATGGGTATTGTAGAATGATCAACTTAATCTTGGGCATTATGATCAAATTATGAAAGATGCATCAAGGGTGAGGGACCAATTTGCAATTCTTAACTTATGAAGGCATGTACTATGGTGAAGCTAAAGTGTGGGATATTCCAAGTTTGGGTTTGGTGAAGGGTCACTTTGGGTTATGAATTAGGTGGTTGAGAAGAATAGCTACCGGAATTATCTTCAACTTGATGCCCTTTAGATGCTCATCTTCTTCTTTCTTTCTTTCTTTTTTTTTTTTTTTTTTGTGTGTGGCTACTAACGATGCTTATGTAATGTAGAAGTGGGGAATTTGGTAATACACAAACACAATACACATTTTTTAAAGTAGATGTATAATTGTCTTACTCCCTTTGAATTGTATTATTGATTATAATATAGCTTAAGGATCATATACTAATTCTTTTGTCCTTGCTATTTTGGTAATGATAAATGCTTATTAGAATCATGGATGGTTTCCTCCTCTTGTTTGTTCTGAATAATTACCTGACTAGAGCTGGATTGAACCAAGCTACATTCGTTTATTATTTGGACAAGATCGGATAAAATATGTTTATGATTTTGATTGTGTTTTAATCGAGGATTAAAAAACCGTACCGTATCGGCGGTTCAACCTGAAGAATCTCATACCAGAAGCAAAACCGGTAGGCCGTATTTAGTGGAATAGTACAGTTGAACCATGATTAAACCACGATTTTAGCATAAAATATCCTACCGCTGACTTTTTCAGTACGACCTCCGGTATGGTATTTTAATCCTTGGTTTTAATACTTCCATTTTTGTTCAATTGGATCTCTCTATAAGAAAATGTAAAATTGGATGGAGCATTTCTAAACTGGCTTCGACAAAATAGGATCGAGTTTGATTATGTTTGAGTTATAATCATTACATTTCCTTGTTTTTAAATTCGTCTGATCTCGAATAAAAAATGGAATGTACCTACTGTTTATTGTTGAGGATGCATACTTATCTATCATTTTTCCCCGCTCTTCCTTGCATCGGTGCATATACCACAATGTGGTCCCACATCTCCTCCTTTATTTACCATACTTCATCTTAGCCGATGAACTAGATCATAACAACGTACAATTCAACAAGTAATTTGTTCAAGAAACAATAAAAACACCATCACAACCGACTCGAAACGCCATAACTCTCTCACAAGATAACAGCAGTAGATGGTGACCAAAACTGACTCCTTCCATATGATGCATTGAAATCGAATTCTGAACTAGAATCTTTGCATTCAAACATATTGATAGGTGGATAAGAAAAAGAACAACTGTAGTTAGCTTTTATCCATATGAACAAATTGATGAATGTGTGTCATGTAAATCCACAAAATATGGTATAGTTGGGTTTGTGGGGTTGGGGGGCCCTATCACAAGTCAATTTGGGAGGTACTAAATGAATATATAGTGGAGAGCAAGTGGGTGACGTGGCTGATTTTACAGGCTGTGTCCATCTTCTCTCTCAATAGTCAATTCTAATAATCCCCACCACCAAAAGTACTCTTCCTCCCCCACCCATCCCAAGAATACCGGATTTTGGTTTTCTCAACATCTCATTTTGTACCATATCCATCAATCTATACATAGTTTTCACATAAATTGGTAGCATTCATATGCTATGTTGGTAAATGAGCTGAGTTTATACATCATTCAGCTTGTTGGTAAACAATTTGAGTTCAAAACTATTATATGTTGTGAAATATATAATGTAACAAAGATATAATTTACGAACATTCGAGTAATAACCTCCTAGAAGTCAATTCACTAATAACCCCCAAGTTAAACCAGCTCGTCCTAACTACATTTTCGAGTAAGCTCACACCTTGAGCTCAACGAGCCAACATGTCAAGCAGGCTCACGAGCAACACAACAGTGAACAAGCCTTAATTAGCGAGTTAAGTTTTGAACAAGTTTTCCCTGAATCAAAACCGAGGATACTAGTCTAAAACAACCAATGGTACCATAAATTTTGCAGCAGTAGCTATACCTTAGCTTCCATACTACGCTCATCTAACCCTACAAAAGGCAGAACATTCTTAAGTCCAAATAAATCAGCTTGGCACCCTCGAATCACTAGTTTTCTTCAACCTGCTTAAGATCCCATCAATGACCTTATGCTGCTGATCCCTAGGAGAGACTGAATCCTCGACAAAAGAATAAGTCTTTACAGACTTCTGCACCGTTTCTCCAGAGCATCCCATTTGAGCAGCAGTTGCCTCAGCTGACTTGCCACCTTGTCCAGACGAACCAGTAAGCTGCTGCAAACCCACTGCAGCATTCTGCTCACCATTCCTCTCAGACTCCTCTTTCTTGCAGTTGCCTTCGATTTCCTCGTTCTTACTCCCAGACCACGTATCAAGAATATCTAGCAACGAGCTGTTATCCTCATTGGACTTTGTGCGGCGTTCTTCTGGTTGACAAGTACTTGCAGTAGCCAGGGTCTCAGGTTCTGAATCTGACGCCACATCATCACTATCATCTTCTGAAAGGTAAGGCTCGTAATCAGGATCCCTTTGGGACGATGAGTTGACATCGGGAGGACCGAGCTCATCCCACACAGAATCTGATTCGTTCTCCTTCTTTGACAATTCGCAATCAGAGTTAGACTTAAGGGTTTTGGTAGAAGGATAGATGAAGGTAGATTCGACTTTAACTCCTGGCATTATTTCCAGCAAAGCGGCCAACTTTTGGTACCCCAGCTTCTGGATGTCGAGATGGTAACCATACCTTTCAAGGAACATCTTTCGGAAAGAGCCCATGTTGTAACCATTTGGGTATTTCTTCGCTAGTTCCTGCACAAGGTTCCTGCAGTCCATCAGTATCTCGCTTCTGGATCTCTCGGAGGATTTTGTGTAAGCGATGGGGGGCGAGACACCAGTATGCGAAACATTCTGTTGTCTTTCTTTCTGAATCAAAGACCTCAATCCATCGGATCCCTGAGAACTGGTCCGGGCTGCATTATCCCTACATAGAATGACCTTAAAACGGGAAGATTCAGAGGGACATTCAGCCACCCATTTCTTTTGTGATATCAAGATGTCTACCAACAGAAGTAGATCAGGTTCCTTGAGAGATTTCCAAAGCAAAGGTCCTTCCTTTAGCAGATTTCTTGCCATCTCTTCCCTGGAAATTGAAATTGAAAAACAGGGGAATCAGCATTGAGAAAGATATTATTCACGGCAAGTTCTTCTGACGTATACCAAAAGAATTGTTCAACACTAGAAAATTTGGGTGTTCCAATTCTGGATTAACTGCCTCAGTGATCATCAAACTATCAATTTTGTGAGAAAATGGTCACTCAACTAAAAATCAGCACAAAATACAAACTCAGGTAAATGATCTGTAACAACCAAAGACTCCCATCACATTCTGCTAATTTGTCAGTTCAGCAAATTCAGAATCCAAATAGGCTCTGTCTATAATCCAAATCGGCAAATCAGCATCTCGTTCACCCACTAGTAAACCATTTCCAACTCAAGAATGATTGGATCTCTGGCTTGCTGTTTGATCAATGGTTCAAAGTCAGTTTTGTGAGTTGGAAAGGGTTGAGTTGAGTGGGTGTATCCGTGTATGGGATGCTAACAGTTCATTTTTGGACCATGACAAGTCTATTTAGCACGTTACTCTACCAAACCCATATAATTCTAGACTGAAGGGGCTGTTTTTGTAATAAATCACTTAATTGAGCTAGCTTACTAATATGATTTATAATTAGGGACCATTTCGGATTGGAGATGGCCAGTAAGGTAAGAAAACGGAAACATGTTCATACTTCATTACCAACCAACACTTAAATCATCATCTAAGTAAAAGAATGATGTAAAAGCAAGTCAAAATCACAAACCTTGTCCTGGATTCTGTTATAGCGAGTGACCCCTTCTGTGTCTGAAGAAAGGACTCCATAACCCTCCAGAATGTGTCCTTAGAAAAGAACTCATGGTCTTTCATGTCAACATTTATCCGATCAAGGACTTTGCTGGGTTGATCGTGTACAGATTCTACATGGTTTCCCCGAGACTTCCACCAGTTCTTAATCCGACTAAACAAACCTGTACTTCTGCTTAAGTTTTCACTAGACACAGCCAACTTGCTGTCACTTTCACTTTCTGGGCTTTCAGTAGATGCTTCTAACTTTCTGCTAGGCAATTCAAGGTTCTTTTCATCAACTCCGTCTCTTCCAAGCTTGTCAGTTGTAATTTTTCCTAGAGAGTCATCAGTGTTCTTCTCAGAGCTTCCATACCAGATTTTTCGAAGAGTCCTGAAAAATCCCACATCAGGCTCTTCATTCTTTGCCGCAGATAACTGCTTATCTGTTTCCTGACCATTAGCCTTCTCCAAGACCTTTTCACTACCAGGAAAGTTGAATACCTTGCCATCAACATCCACTTCCACAGCTCTCACATTTGGCTCTGATGAAGCCAATGGTGACAGATTCTTCTCAGCTGCACAGTCAGTATCCATCTTCGAAGAGCTAGCAGGAACCCGGTTCACATTGTTAAGTATATCAGTAGCTGTGTTAACAAGAGGGCCAGATGGATCATGAGCCCTACCAGGAACAGCTCGCACGAGAAACCGACCATCCCCCTTGCTTTGAAGCTTCAACACTTGTGGCATTGCCAAGAGAAATCGGGAGAACTTCTTATGGCCATAAAATTCCTTATCGATCGCCAAGTTGCTATTCAACAACTCGGCTCGAAGGTCCGTTATGGTGATACCTTGAGGGTGCGAGCACAAAATCTGTCGAATCTGCTTCATCACTGCTTTTGGTATGGGACGAATAGAATCTACAGGCTCCTCGACCTTGGGAGGAAGTGGCAATGGTGCTGGTGCTGGTGCTGGTACTGGTACTGGTGCAGGTGTAGGCTCAGGAACGGAGAATGGATCTTCCAAGGGTAACTTGTAATGACCATACCAAGAACCATAAGGACCATCAGGAGGTTGGTTGAAATACTTCCCAGCCAAGTTCTCTCCATTCAGTAGATCGTTCCAATGCCACATGATACTTGCAGCACTGCATAGAACACTGGGAGCACCTTCTTTAGCTGCAAGCAAGATGTTGTAATTGTTCATCCTCAGCCTGTGCAAGCAACTGGCAAAGTCTCTGTCACTGGAGATGAGGAACAAATGGGCTGGCGGCGGATTTTGGGATACCCAGTCCATTAGACCCACTAGAAGAGACCTGTCTGCACTGTTCTTTCCTCCTGCAACAATGTGAATGAAAAAGGGGGAGAAAAACTCAATAGCAGTGGGTTGAAACCTGCGGTTTCAAATGATGCAATCCACAAGAAAGGATTTCCGAAAAATTAGACATACTCTGACGTTCTAACAATCTTTCAAACATCATATCCTTTATCCTTATGATCATTTGATCTTATATATAAGTCCACTTAATTCAAAACCATACATTCTCAAAATGCACAAATTTTACCTATCCGATAACAATCATAGATTCCAAAACCACCACACCTTAAAACTTTTCCAAAATCAAGAAAGACTTGATCTCAAATTCTCAATACTCAAACATTAATCCAATGCATACACATCTCAATCTCTATACTTTCCCAATACATCCAAAGTCACATTGTCAAATTCTCTACATCAACAACACCAAAGGTTTGACCTTTAGAAATAATCTACCGAAAAGAGCAATGGGGGATGAAAACGAGGGGAGAGAGAGAGAGAGAGAGAGAGAGAGAGAGAGAGAGAGAGAGAGAGAGAGAGAGAGAGAGAGAGAGAGAGAGAGAGAGAGAGAGGAAGGAAAATACCATTGGGGACGTGAGCCATGTTGATTCCAGTGGAGGAAAGAGCTTCCTGGTTGGCCCTCGAAAGCTGGAAGACGTCTCCGTACGCCGTGATGTGGACGGGGCCTTTCATCCCGTTGGCCCTAACCGCAGCCGTGATGGTCTGCGCCACTCTAAACACATTGACCCCAGCCGGCAAATTGCAATTCTCGAAATCCCACCATACCGAGACCCTCACGGACCTCGAATCCTCCTCCTGCTGCTGCCTCCGCGACTGAAAAGTCTGGAATTGAGATGGGGACGAGGTGGAGTAGTAAGAAACGAGGACGGATTGGGACAGGGTTTTGGCGGGAAGGAGGGGAACTTTCTTCGCGATCATGGCGGATTCTGGGTTTGTTTTGATGTTTTCCACTGGAGCTTGAACGTGGGCGTGTTAAGAGAAGTGTGAGTGTGAGGGGGAAAAGGGTTGTCTTCTAGTTCGCCATTTTAGGTCGGTGAGTTTTGCTGCAGGAGGTGGGTGAGCTCTTCCTCCTCTCCTTTGGAGAATGGAGTGTTGCAGAGGAGAGAGACGAATCCAAAACCCTTGGCAAAGCCCTAGTGCACGTGATATGCACGTGGGATGGAAATTGAGTTGGGCTGGGCTGGGCTGGGCTGAACTAGATTGGCGGAAGGAGAGAGTTACGTTGACAGTTTGGGCTTAGGAAGCAATTCAGTTCGGCCCAGTCAGGAGGTTTCCATCTGTTTTTATTGGGCTGGGGTGTTAGATAATCTACAGTATCATTTATAGCTGAAAAGTAAAACTGCACCCCCAATTCAAATTTTCCTGTTCGTAGAGTGATTTTAGGAGGCTGATGTGGCAGCCTATTTAGGCGGGATTTCGCCTGCAACCGTCGGCCGGAACTCCTTTTAGCGCCCGAGTTACGCAGATTCTAGCGGCGGTTATCCTTGCTGAAACTATTATCGGCAGTTTACCTATCCTCGCAACACTAGAAAGAGCACATTCAGCCAATCCACGATTCTCGATTCCCGCCGGCCGAATTGGCTGGTTATTCTGCGCTCGAAATACCTTCAATTCCTTATTCTATTTTCCTCCCTGAAACCAATCTCTTCATTTTCTCTATCCTAACAACACCATACGCATTCATCACCTACGGGAGGTGCATCGATGCACCCGGTGGCCCACGATTCTTCATTCCCGTTGTCCGACGGGTTAGGTCCCATTTAGTGGCAGCGATTCGCTTCTTTCTTCTCAATCAGGGAATCGCGCGTTGGCGCTACTGCCCAGGCGGCGCTTCTCAATCTTCTCTAATCGATTCTGTTGTTGTGTCGAGGAGTCCCTTCGAATTGGTTGGTTCCTCTACACTGATGTTTTCCCCTTCATCTCCGTATTCAAAGCAATTGAAATATTAGTAATTATGTTGGCTGTAATCACGATTACTAGGTCTGCGGCGGGTCAGGGAGTAGTAGGCTTGCCATAAGCGACTTGAAGGGGCTCCTTCCTTCACGTTCAGGAGGACGGATGTAAATGAAATATGGGAGGATAAGTATAAACCTCAGACTTTGGAAGAAGTTGTTGCGCAGAAGGTCAGTTCAGTTTGCTGCAATTTCCTTTCGTATGGGTTGCCATCTAAAGCAATATCATGTACTCATGTATTGAGATAGCTTACCGACTGATGCGTGATGCGATTGACATGGTTAGTTTGATACAAATTAAAAACTTTGAACCTGACAGGAATCTGGGGTAGCTGAGTTATTACTTCACTTACGAGCTTCAAATTCATAGATTAGCTTCCCGGAGCTACTCAGATTCGATAGCAGCATTTTGAGCTGCCCTTTGAGTAGTACAATTCTACAATTTCACACCTGTCATGACATTTTACAGTAGAGTTGCCCTTTTTCTCATCTTGCGATTCAAGTTATTGAAAATTGTGTTCTTATTTTAGCTGCAAATATTGATTTCTAAGTCTGTGTAGGGTTATGTATGGATAGTCGAACGAGAGAAGTCAGTTTATGAGTCGCGGTGCACTTTCAGTTTATGATCCGTCAGCTCTTTGTCTTCTCCCTGTCGCCCGTCCACCTCCAGTCCTTCCTCTTCTCCGATCAGTTCATCCCCATTCGTCGTTGTTCGAGAAGGTCAGCGAGCTTGCAAGTCGGTAGTCCCATCGTCCACTGCTGATTCGAGAAGGTCGTGGAGCTCGCAAGTTGGTAATCGGTAGTTTGGCCACCACCACTATGTTTCTTTCGGTCTCGCTCTCATCCTCGCTGGACCAATTTTGGTAGGTACTTTCTATTAGTGAGTATTTTCAGTTTTTGGTGAATTGTTTTAGAAGGTTGCGTCAGTTGAAGATTCCTGTGGGCCAATTGCAGGTTCACCATTGTATCAACAAGAGGTACAACTTCATGCTTTGGAAAGTGTTAGGGTGTCCATAACTAAAGTGGAGCAGCTAACTCAATTCCCTGAAATGGTACCATTTCTCAATTTCTTTTCTTTCTTAATTAGAAAATGGAACTGCTTTTTAGATTCTATAACCTGAGTTATTTGATATGGAAGATGGGGTTATGAATTTTGTTGTCTCAGTTAGCAACATGCATACCTAATGTTATGTAACTATCGCATTTGGACTGCACTTCAGCTTTGAGCTGCAAGTTTCTCATTACATGTTTCTCTTCTTTAGAAGATATTTGGAATGTTTTACTATTCCTTATTTTGCAATCTTTACTTGGTTGTACTTTCAGCCAAAATATCACATATCTTAGCAATATTGCAGCATCTGATTAGTAGCAAGTTCTTTTATATATTCTGCATTCTGCAATAGTTTATTGAGGGATGAGATATCGTTGGTGTGAGCACTAGCCTTCTTGATGGTTAGACACCCCATTTTCTCATCTTTGAACATGCGAGGCTAGCGCCACATGTTAGTGTTCTGAAGTTAATTTGGGTATCTGATGTAAAAAATAATATGATACCTGTGGGGATATCAGTTAGATTTTCAGAGCGCAGGATGGAATCGTGAGTGATCTGTAAGAATCACATACATGTCTATTACAATGCTGCTATTTGTTTCTTGGATTTCGGAGTATTGTCGGTTTGACATGTAAGTATTTCCTCTGCATCTACGGTAGTGGAAGAATATAGGAAGGAGGTCAATGAAAATGTTTGGCATGAGACTATTGCAACATAGATTTGCTCATTTAGATTTAGAATTATACGATCAAAATTGGATGTTGATGATCAGTCTCTTCCTTTTTTGCAGTCTTAAATTGATTTGGGACCATACATAATGTCTCGATTGTTATTAGTGGAAAACTAAGGTAAAGAGCTTAATACTTTTATTCTTTTCTTTACTATTAATTTATAACTTTTGAAGCTTTGAATGACTCTGTTTACATCAACATTTCTCCAGTCATGCCTTCATGAATTGATTTGGTATCAACATTTCTCCAGTCAAATTTTCCTGTTCGTAGAGTGATTTTAGGAGGCTGATGTGGCAGTTCATTTAGGCGGGATTAATGTAAACATTCTGCCAACGGCAACCGTCGTTTTTGCTCTGCCTTTATTTTCTGGAACGTGTTCCTCCTTCCTCTTCCTGTGTCCTTTTCGCATCTGAAAGGGCACCTGTAACCGTCCTCCTCCGTATTCCCTCCTGCTTCTGTGCTTCAGCAACGCGTCTTCCCTCCAGGCGACTGGAACCGTCATCCCTCCCTCTTTCTCTTTGCTTCCGGCAGAAAAATTACACTCCAATTCCTAATTTTCCCTCAACCCTATTCCCCTTGCCGTAGCAACGTCGACCTCGACCATTATCCGTCGGCGACCAAGCGGTATTGTCGAGTCGAAACTGTCGACCGAGCACATCTGCCGCCCCAGCCCTCAGTTCACCATAGAGATTGCCGGACTCAAACCCTCGACGAAACTCTGGGCGACAAGCACTCTCCCCTGCCGGATCGTACCCGCCAGTCCCATCACTCTCCTTGCCGGATAGGAACAACCAGTCCTGTATTGCTCAAAGTTAGACCGCGGCTTCGCGATAGAGAGGTTTCAATTTGAATCCTTGGTTGGGGAATTGTCAGCCGAATTTGCCTCCAATCTCAGTCGTACCGCTGTTGGGGTCACGAAATCAGTGTCGCCAACTGGAAGTTTGGGAGGTTATCCCTTCTGATTTTCCGCTTCCCTAAAATCTTCACACTATGGTCTCTCGCTTTGACTCTTGCACACAAGTCTTCGATGTCGTCTATACTCTCGATCTGCTGACTCGCTTTCTCGATAGTTACTTTCGTTCTCTTCCCGTCCATTTGTTGAAACTGATTTTAGGGTTTATCCTGCGGATCAACCACCCCGTTCCACTGGCGCTGCTACCTTGGCACTGTGGTCCGCTCACTGCATTCTGGCAAACTGGGTTTTCGGTCGCTGGTCTTCGTTTCTTCATAGTCGGCCGCTTCTGCGTTCCCCTCACTGAGTTCCGACAAGTGGATTTCGGGGCGCGACTCTTCGTTTCTTCGTAAAGGGCCAGCGTATCATACGACGGCGTTGAATTTCGCCGGCCAAATTTGGGGAACCTGCACGTTGTTCCCTCGAACAAATTGCGAAAGGTTTGTGGCCACCTCCACGCCCGCGGTAGCTTCCAGATTCGCGTTTCATGTCAGTGTTCTCGCATCAGCTTCACGATTACCGCCGGTGTAAGGTGTGATTTGTCTTTTTAATGTTTTATTTAGGGCCCGAAGAATCCATTGGAATAGTGGTTGTAGCTAGGGAAATTGGTGTCTTTTTAGGTTGATATAGTTCGAAATGGCTTCAATCGACATTTTTATTGGCATAGGAGTAATGATCATGTTCCTACGTGCTCATTGATTGACTTTGTAACGAAAGTTGAAGTATGCAGTTATACTTGGTGGAAAGATATTTATTGCCCTTGCAAAATTGCAGGACTCAGAACTGAATTTAACTAAGTTATGAGCTCTCTAAACCACACCACAAGGATCCATGTTGGATTAGAATAGGCTGACTTGCTTTTATCAAGGTGAATTGAATTAGAACTAGATTATGGGATAGAGTTGCTCAAACTAAAGCATTTGATGTGTGTTTTCTCTCACCTGAAACTGAAATTGTCTTGCAGAAAATATCCATCATTCGATCAGGTTGTGCAACCCGTAAAAGAAGCCAGCACTGCTGACCTATTGATGGTTGCTCCCCAACAACCAATACAACCTTTTTTACATGCTTTTATACTTCCTGTGATGTCCCGCTCTGTGGCCTTAGTTTTGAAGATACCCTTATTGATAAGAACAATCCTGATATACCTTAGGAACATCCAATTAATGGTCATGAGCAGTAAGGATCCCAACAACTAATTGTTCCATTTTGATTTGTTTCTCCTACAAGGTATATATCTTATAGATTTAAGGCACCTCTCGATAAATTCCATGGCGGGATGGGGTTCTTGACATATCTATTGCTAGGTTTGTTCCTTCTGAAAGCCATTTCATGCGTGGATTCTTCATTTCCATTCTCTGTTGATGAGTATTGGTTATTGGTTCTTTGTATTTTACTACTTTTTTTTTTGTTA